TTAATGTCGGAATCCAAGTTGACGGTCCTTTCTTTCCTGTTTCTCTTTAATTCACTTTTTAGGCAAGTCTACCGTGGCCTGGTTTGCTCGAGCTTTTCTTACGCAGCTTAGTCATCGAAATAAGTCTTACATTTGCTTGAAATACACGCTTCTAACAGGCAGCTTTGTCATCGAACTAAGTCTTATGTTTATGTGACCTTATATTATGCAACTGTATATTATTTTTAAAAAATTGTCAGTGATTCCTTATAATTTATAAACGCAATTAATATGTATAGAATTTAATTAATAAATAAGTTGTATCTGAAAGAATTTTAACATTAGATTTTTTTTCTACTTTCATCGTATTAATCTCATTCATCTAGTTATAAATAAATTCACTGTACAAGAAAGTAAAATTGAAAAGAGGGTTTGGTTGTTTGATTACTAGGAGTTTAATTGAGTTCTTTAAAATATCGAATCGAGTCCAAAGTTTACCGCCATATGTATATTAAAATGTGATAAAAATGTAACAAGCGTTCTACTACGTATGACTCATGCAAGTTAAAAAACAATGTATCTCAAATTCGATCACGTATGTTAAAGCACACATGTACTATTCTAAAGCCACTCAAATGTGTGAGGTGACGCAAGACTACGCAAGTGTCACTGCTAAGAAATGCTTGAGTATGCAAGCATGCGATGGCAATAAAAGCGCTCTAATACATGTGAGGATAATAATATGAACTACTGAGTGCATGCAAGGGGTAACACTAGGATAAAACAAGCCTGAAAGTGAATGCATGGGAGGAAATGTGAGTGTACAAATAATAGTGCACGTAAAGACTGCCAAGTTTGCGAGATAACTCTATAGAGTATGCAAGTGCAGTCGAAAGGAGTTGCTGGGTAAGTGAGCAAGTTCTAACCGCCCTAAAATACTCTGGTATAGGCACATGTGAGAATCGCTGAGTAACGTAAAAAAATTGTGACAACGGAAGAGAATGCGTGGCTAAAGACTGATCAAGATATTCTTATAAAGTCGAAACTCTTGACTCCCAAAAGTGATGATGAGTTAAAATAACTTAATCGTCGAAGAAACTCAGAGATTATGGAAGCTCTTAAAAAAACTAGTATCTATTTTGTTTTTAGGATATTTCCAAGCTCTCCGAGTCTTGAGGAGATTCTTACTTTCATAATTCTGATACTTATAACTGAATTAATATTTTAGTATTCACCTTATGCATTTGAGTATAATGTATAGAGGGACATTCATAAATTCATAAGTACTTTAACAGCGATGATTGGTGTGTACAGCAGCTTATCCTGAAGCCAAGCCGCGAAAAACAAATTTTTAAAAAGTTTGTTTTTGAAGAACGCCTGTTACAAGATTATTTGAATTTGGACCAAAGTTTTAGCAGCGCAGACTGCCACAGAGTGTGGTTTGGTGTGAATAAATAACTGCATAGCAATTGGCTATTTGTCGGTAAGTAGTCAACAGTATGGCGCTAGTGACCAAGGGGTGGCGTGCTAATGTTGTTGCGAAGTGCAAAATCATTGATACTTTATTACTTTCATAGCATAAGACACTTTATCAGTGTAAAAATCTTAATTATATTATCAAATAAAACATATAACCATTTAAGTAATATATTATTATTCACTTTGTGTTGAATAACTGACAATTACTACAAGTCAACACGCTGCAAAAAAGTTAACCTTTGATAATTATGCAGTTACAGCGACTAAAGACTTCCAAAACTATTAACTTATAAGAGAACTTGACACAATTTAAGTAAATTGTATGCAATAACAAAGGCACACGATACTAGAGAATCATTACATCACAAGTACTTAGTAGGCTTCTAGTTAGTAGAAACTTAGCAGGCACTTCGCAGGCACTTCATGGTCGTAAGTCAGGTACTAAGCTGGCACTTGATAGACATTTAGCTGTGACCTCATGGGTACTTGGTGAAACTTGGCTGGCACCTGGTGGATACTTGATGGGCATTTGGCAGGTGAGCTTGTCCACTGAAAGCGGGCTACCTTGCGCGCGCGGGGCTTTCTTCACTCGAGCACGCTGTGCTTGGCTCGCTCGTAATGGTTAGGAGATAGCTGAAAAAATTATTAAAAAATACAAACCGATAGATTTTGATCTGTTCTTTCTAATGGTACTATTCGTTTTCCCTCAAAAATTTATTTTCGTTGAGAAAAATGAGTCAGAAGTTCAGGACGTTTCTCTGAAATTTGCCATGGTTTAGATAATAAAATTTGCAGGAATCGAAAGAGCAATGCTAAAATATCAACTCCACAAAATTCAGAGTGGGAGAGCAAAGAATGCGTGAATTACAACCAAATAAAGACGTTGGAATAAGCAAGTTTCATGGTGGCGAGGCGTGCAGTTGTCGCCTGCGCCGCGCTGTCACGCGGCGACGCACTGTTACTAACGAGTTGTTGTATTAACTATTCTATGATGAGCTTGTTTTAGAACATTAGCAAATGGGTTTTTTTTTGTGTAAACAAATTTTTTACCAGAGAGGAAGCAAATGAATGAAATGAACAAATTTATTTGAAGTTAAAATAGTGTTGAGAGCATATTTAATTTTAAAGTTTTATACATACCTAGTTATGCACAAGTTACTCTTAACAAGCGCTTTGTACAATATTTATGGAAGTTTACAAAAAACTTATTTTTTGGTATTTTACAAAAAACATCGACCGACTGTGCACATACAATAACATAAGATGTCTTGACAGCAGATTTCTTTTAAGAGTGCAAGTTATAAACAACATAACATAATAAACAAACTGTAAGAAGATGCTTTATCGACACCGTTGGTACGTTAGTACCAGTACGTCGCCGCGTGACGGCGCAGCGCAGGCGACAACTGCACGCCTCGCTGTCATACAACTTGCTCATTCCAACGTCCTCATTTGCTTGTAATTAACGCATTATTTGCTCTCCTGCTCTGAAAATTTGTGGGGTTAATATTTTAGCATTACTTTTTTGATTCTTGAAAATTTTTTTTTTCAAACCATGGCGAATTTCAGAGAAACGTCCTGATTTTCTGACTCATTTTTCTTAACGAAAAAAATTTTTTGAGAGAAAACGAATAGCACCATTAGAAAGAGCAGATCAAAATCTATTGGTCTGTATTTTTTAATAATTTTTTCAGCTATCTCCTAACCTTTACGAGCGAGTTGAACACAGCGTGCTCGATCGAAAAAAGCCCCGCGCGCGAAAAGTGGCCCGCTCTCAGTATACAAGCCCAGGTACTGGGTTGGTAATTAGTGGGTACTTGACGATCACTTGTCAGCTACTGGGTGGGTACTCAGCAAGTACTTGATGGGAACTTGTCAGAGACTTGACAAGTACGAGGCAGGTACTTGGTGGGTACTTGATAGTCTTTTGACGGGTACTCGATAGGACTTAATAAGCACGTGGTGGGCACTTTGCAAGAGCCCACGGAAACTTGAGAGACTTGAGAAAATAATTGACGAGGACTTGTCAGGTACCTGGTAGACACTAGATGGAACTTGAAGTACTTGACTTGAGTACTCACTGGTGCTGCACTACTTACCGACAAATAGCTCGTTGTTGTGCAGTTGTTTAATCCCACTAAACCACACTGAAAACTTGTTCTTAATAGGCCCAAATCAAACAATTTTGTAACTGGCGTTATTTTGAAACAAATTGTTAAAAAAATTATTGTTTGACGGATGTGAATTTGGGATACGTTTTTGTATATGTCAGTTACTGCTGTTAAAGTACTTATGAATATCCCTGTATACACGAGGTAATAAAGAATCGTTGAATGATCATTTAGAGTATCTTGTTAACATTGGACATTCTAGAAAGTTTCGCTTGGTTGCTTGCTATACATCTTTGAATTGTACAAAACTTTTTAAGGTACATATACTTTTATCCAAGCGAAATATTCTAGACTCTTCACAGTAGCCATGTCAGTTTTAAGTAAATGTAAATGATACTTCTATGTATAGGTCTAGGTGCTTTGTCTATGACGAAGTTCTGAACAGTTAACTATTTTTTTGATTGTCAATAAAGCGATTTTAAGAAGTATTACATTAAAGAAATATCTAAGCCAATAATGATGCGTAACTAATAGAGTCTGGATTAATGGTTGAACTTAAGAGTAACTAATTTATTAACAGTTTACATCAATGTATTCAAATGTATTATTTTTCGTGATATTTCTTTAACCAATGTTTTGTAGTTCTTATGGCATCAATTCTTGTTTCATGTAATACATAACGTCATGTCTGTGCATTTCCATCTTAAAAACAATATTTATCAACTACGTAAGTCAACAGATTACCCAAAATTCTTCAGTCACGAGTTTTCTGACACATAGATAATAAATTTACTAGAGTGTGCTTAAAAATCGGCTTCACTATTAATTGGGGGCATCTTCCGCTTCTATTAATGTGTTAGCTGAAATCTCATCTTTTTTATGGAGCACTCCAGAAATGTCATACTTGACCTCGTGCATTATTATCTAGTATCGAACGTATTATTGCACTTGGACTTGAAAAGAATTATAATTATTGCTTATGGTGTTTAGACAAATTACCCGTCATTTAGTAATAAGGAAAAATGTATGCGTTTCTAAAACTTTGAACATCAACCTTAAAAATTATTTCTTAATTTCTGAAGTTCACATTATTACCCTAAAACTTCTTTGTGAGACTCCTATTGGAGGTAGATATCGTTGAAAATGCAATTAATACTATTCATGTAAGGAGTTTTCTTGATGGAAATAATTTTCTAAAGTTTCTTTAGAGAAATTCAATTTTGTCAGTTTTTATTCCTTAGGAAATCTGAAAAACACTTTTATGCAGGATTCTCTTTTAGTAAATCAATTAAAATAATTTATACTTTTATTTCATTTTGAAATATTTTTATGTTTTGAATTATAGATTAATACCACAACATTGACTTGCTTTTGAATCATTCTTAACTCTGGCAAAAACTTAGATCGTTTGTTTTATTTTTATTTTTTCAGTATGGTTTCAACATGGTAATTCAACATCGAGAGGCTATTAACTGTATTACCCTCAGCCTAATGCACAAAAGTCTGCGGTAAGTTGAATCTCGAAGCCACATAAAATGCTTATACACATTTATTAAATAAGTAATAAAAAAATTGAAATAAAACGGACATGGATTTATTTTCAATGCTTGAATCACTATAGAACAAAAGCTTTAGTACTTGAGCTGTTGGCAGCTATATGCTTGGTAAAGGGTGGCCATGAAATAATACTGTCGGCATTCGATAACTTCAAGGAGGTCTGCTCAGAGGGACATCGGTTTGAGATTCTCATGGAGTTCTTTACTCAATACGACAGTTTTTATATTGAGTTCATGGTTGCGTGTATGCAGTTCGTCAATATTGTCGTACATTCAGTTGATGATATGAATTTCAGAGTGTATCTGCAGTACGAGTTTACGAAGCTTGGTCTTGATGATTATTTGGAAAAGCTCAGGCTTACTCAAAGCGAGGATTTGCAGGTTACTAAAAAACCTTTTTTCTTAGCTCCATTTATTATACTCTATTATGATATTATAATGTTGTTTTTCCTATCTCAAGGCATTTTTCGAGACCTTTGGACGTTGACTGTGTCCTCGATAGGAAAACCAGGATTTGCTACATAAGCGCCATCCACCTGGAGCTACCTGACGGTAATGTGACCGCAAATTAGCCCTGGTGGCAATGGCGCTAATGTGACGAAAACTATCATTTATACCATCTCACTTCCGCTCAGAGGCGGAAAAGTACTTTTCCGCCCTCGGGTGGTTTTGGGAGGCTGTTACTTCCTCGGGCGAAAAAGCAGTTTTCCGGAACTCGTTCGAAAAGTCTCCTTTACAAACCTCGTTACGTCCCTCGCCTACGGCTCAGGCCGCAAACCTCTCGGTTCGCAAATATAGACTTTTCAAACTCGTAGGAAAACTACTATTTTTGCTCTCTGGGTGCAAAGTACCTTTCTAACCTAGATTGCAAAATGATTAGTGGGTGAAAAGTATGCCCACAGGTATAAAGTACGATTTTGCACCCTCAGAATGAAAAACGACGTAAATTATAATGTGCGAACGAAGAGAAAACACTGACAAACATGTTTAAGTCTCAATATGCTTTGACTTTTAGGTTCAAATTGCAGCTTACTTGGATAATGTCTTCGACGTCGCTGCCCTGATGGAAGATAGCGAAACAAAAACGGCTGCTCTAGAAAGAGTTGCTGAATTGGAAGACAAATTTGGCCATGTAAGCATTTTTTATTCAGTATATTTAAACTATAAACTAAACAGAAGCCCGAACATATGTCTTAATAAGTATGTTTGACTTAATAAGCACTATAAATAAATTGGAGACCTTTAACTCTAAATCAATTAACATTATTCTATCTGCCAATGCGCTATTTCTCAAATAAATCTAACAATAAGCTATTACTAAATTTAAGTAAACAACATATTTTCCTAATTAATTCAGAGTAAGAGCATTTACTGCCATTTTTGGTCAAGAATCCAGACCTTGTGAAATATAAGAAATTATATTATATCAATTAGCTGTGTACATTAGACTAGTAGCATCGGTTTTCAGAGCAGTGCAAAGTTGCTTGATTACTAGAGTTATACTTCTATAGGCGCATTATGCACGAGAGTAAATCAACCATTTTAGAATTTTCTCTCTCCAACAATACGTCACGGAAGCGAATTACTCCTCTCACTTCCAATCCTGGGGCTGAAAGAAAAATGATACAAGTGAAGTAAATTTTTCATTTGTGTTCCTAATTTTAGTTAAAAAAAAGAACTTTCACTGAGCTTGTAATCACGACCATTTGCATACGAGCTGAACACTATATCCACATGCTCTGTTCCTTAAAACATGTCTTTTTCTTTTCTTAGAGTGTGGTCCAAAGTTAGTTTTAATTTAAATATTCCTACAGGATTTATCATTGAATTTGTTCTTACATTCACTATTTATTACATACATTAATAAACTATTTACAGAATTTTTTTTTTTTTTAAACTAAAAAAAATCGCTTTTCAATTTTTCTGTATATTAATACATATTTGTTTTATTTTTTTTTTAATTTTCTAATTGTATAATAAATAAATAAATTGTTTACACCATTTTTGAATTTTTTCCAAATTATTTAAAGTAGTTTCTCATTTTTGCCTTCTTTAAGGTAATTTTTTTACTTAAGAACGTTTATGCAAAAAAATTAAAGGATTTCTGTGGATCATTTTTTCATGAATGCAATTTTACGTGCTTCCATAAGGCAACGTGTTTGCTTGATTTTTTTGAAATTAAACATGTAAAATTGGGTACAGTCAATTGTATTTTTAATCCTTTACTATGCATTTATTATCATTATGCTTGCAATATTTTTAATTGACAGTATGTTAATCATCTATTTTATGTAATTAAATGAACGTTTATTAATAAAAATAGCTTTTCATAAATTTATAGTCCTTCTTTTCAACATAGCAAAAAAGTTATTTTTAAGATATTATTTTTTTTAATTTTTCATTTTAAATAACAAAATATTTATTAAAACCATACCTTATTACCGTTTATGTGAATCCCAAAAGTAATCGCATCATCTTTTATACATCACAGTGGTTCATTTAATATGTCTTATTGTAAAAGATACATTTATATTCATTTATTATCTGCCAGAAAAGTATAACTGTATATTTAGGTACCCAAGCTCTCACTGACCACAGGTACTTTAGTAAGATAAAGTAAAAATATAAGACTGTCACTACGCATAAGTGGCCTCTGTGTCCAAACCGCTCTCGCTAATTCAACTTTCATACAAAAAGCACAATTTATATGTTTCTCCGAAATTTTTTTTTTTCTAAGTGAAAACTTCTGAATGTGCGTTGGACGATTTTGGATCGGAAAAAACTCTTGGTTTCGGGTCAGATCGCTCTTATTTAAAAGCAAGATAATCCTTGCAGAGAGTCGTGTGTGAGCACGAGAGAATGAAGTGTCGGCGAGGAGGGGCGGAAGGAAAGGGGGAGCCCGCTCTGTATTGGCTGGCGGTAAAGAAGAAGAGAGTAGCTTGGTGGCGCGGTGGAGTGCGGCGGGGTATGGTAGTGTGGGTATGCATATGGCCTAAGTACTGTCTCCTTGTCTAACGGCAGCCTATCGAGTCAGGTACTCAGATACCGAGCTACCTAGGTAAATTTTAACTATGTGTAATTACGTACTATACTGGTATATAGCTTTTTGCCATGTGTCAATGTGTATACTGTAAACTGTATGCAATTTATGTCACTACAGTATTAATGTATAAGTGTATAGTGTATATCCAATAGTATCAGTTACCCATGCAAGTTCAACTGCGTGTAGTTGCAAGCTTGCACGGCGATTTGTGGTGTATATACTTGACTAGTGAGTCACTACAAGCTGTATTACCGTGCACATACGTACACACATATATATTTGCAATTGACTGTCGTCACGTCGTCACTCTTCGTTATTAATTAACTTATGCCTAATAATATCTTACATTTTACTAAAATTGTTTTAGCTTATAAAAGTATAATTTAATATTTAACTGTGAGTTTAATTACCTTACTTTCTTCCTTTTTATGTTTTGAATTATAGATTAATACCACAACATTGACTTGCTTTTGAATCATTCTTAACTCTGGCAAAAACTTAGATCGTTTGTTTTATTTTTATTTTTTCAGTATGGTTTCAACATGGTAATTCAACATCGAGAGGCTATTAACTGTATTACCCTCAGCCTAATGCACAAAAGTCTGCGGTAAGTTGAATCTCGAAGCCACATAAAATGCTTATANTAAATAACATTTATTTTACGTAAGTATGAAGGATTCCTGCTGGAAAATCAATTCGATTATTTACAAATTGCATGTCGAGGACTTCAAATGAATTCATTAAAAAATAAAAATAAGCCTACATCGAAGAATACGCCAATGGACAACTAGCTACGCTACAGAGACTCAGCAGCACAAGCAGGAGAAGACAAAAAACGCAAAGAGGACTGCCTGCATACTTGCGTTTTTGAAAAAGTGCGAAGAATGTTGAGATGAGAAGCGAGTAAGAGAAGTGTGTGTATGAGTCCAGCAGCTACTATTTTCTCCGAGGACGATAGAAGTGGCCAGGACTAATAAAAGAGGGTAGAAAAAGGAAACCGTCGGATGAACGACCAACTCAAGGACTTAAGACACCTTTACGCTGGGTTCGGACTCGCTGACGTTCAGCTAAGAAATAAGGCTAGAGAGAGAGAGCGATAAAGGTGAAGTGACGTAGACGACATGAGGTGTATGAGACCGTGAGGTACATGCTTGGGAGTACTGCTATTGATAGCGTTCGCACGTTCGTTATATGTTAGTGAAAACAGAGAGAAAAGACGAATAAATAACGTCGAGAGAAAGAGAGATTGGCTTCAATTAGTATGGGGAGATATAGTAGCATAGAGCAGAGAAAGAGAAAGATAAAGAGAGCAAGAGAGAGATAATTAAGAGCAAGAACGAGCAGAGTAGAGTAGACAGCGAGAAAATGTCAGTAGACTAGAGTAGCCTGGAATTATAGACATAGTATGAGTATACGTATGTTAGCGTGGAACTAGGACAAGCGAAGCTCCTTCTAGTCCAGGATTAATATAACGAATTGAACGTGCTCTCATAGCTCATGTGATACGAGGTGGAATTGCTGCAGCACAATCAAAGTGATGGTGTGAAGCGTAATTTAGGGCACGGTGTACAGCGTACAGAGATTCTATGTATTAGTATTAAGTGATCGAATGAAAGCATATTAACGGTATTCGCTGGTGTTAAGTTCTCTTTCATTTACATAACGTGATGATTTTTCTAAGCCTTGACACAAGGCTAACCTACCTCCACCTCGACCGTTGTTCGGATCCTAATACAAGGGACAAAGGTGACGTACGAAAGCGAGAGTTATCAACGCTGCATCGGCATCCACTTTATTTTCAGGTTTAGATAAAGTGTTATAAGACTGATGAAAACCAAAAATATCGCATGTATTTCTTGTGTTAAGTGTAGAAGCAAAGAGTAGCATCGAAATATGGATTGTAACGAAGTGAAAATAAAACCAAAATTATTTGTATAAGTTTGCTTCATAAACGTTAGAGTTAAATAAACTGACCCGTACTAAATCATGACAATAGCATTACACAAAAGTCTACAAAATGTCCTCTCAGTTATGTTTGTAGGAAATTATAAATCACTTTTTATTATTAACTACCATTTGTCAGTAGTTATTGTGACACACTAGCCCGTCACAACAAACCTGTACTGCCTGGTGAGAGCTAAATAACAAGGTAAATAAATTTATTTCATTGATTTCTATAATTCATAGCATTAACAAAGGCATCAACATGCAAAGACGCAATATTGTACACAATATCACATATGAGATTTTTTGTCAAAGTCTTCCGTTTGACAATATCATGTGCTATAGTTCTTTTTTCCATACTCGGCACATTGTTATAACTCAAATCACTTACAATATTATTTGCGATGTTTGGTGTGAAGTAATCTATTTGTACTTCGTGCATACTACTACCTTTTTTAAAATAAAGTCTATAAATTCCTGTGCTACCATAGGCATATAATCTGATATTTCGCTAAATTTGCGTAAATGACAATTAACGCAATGTACAAAAAATTTGTGTAAATGGCCAAACGTTACTTTTTTCAGCATTGAACTTTGATGATACTTTTTTGCAGCTCTTTAGTCTTCATTTTGTCGTCTTATTTCTTCAATTTCGATGGCTTTTTCCTTATAACTCATCGTAAACTTCAAGAACCAGTTGGACCCGTAAATCTTAATATTTTGCAAGTTACTGTCATCCGTTGTAAAGTATTTTTCAATGTCGAAGAAGACAAATTTTAACTTACTCCAACTAAAAAATTTAAAAGAAATTCTTTCGAAATTTACGCCCAACACATGGACAATACGTTCCCAATTGTTGTTCAACAATTTTTTGTATTTAACTCCAACGATTATCTTTTTTTACTAAATGATTTATTCAATCCAAAAGTTTGTAAATAATCTTAGGAAGCAATGATTCTTGATGCTGCTTTGAGGTTAACAGATTGAAAGTTTTTATCTCCAAGACTTTCTTTTTTAAAAGTTCCATTTGCTCCCCGCTGCAATCGAAAGAGTAAGAGTATTAAAGACGCTTAGACATTTAAGCTAGATTCAATTGCACTACCAGGAATTTTGGATGGTATTACTTGAAAAAAAAGTATAAAAAT